TAAACGACTCAAAAAACAAAGTTTGATGTCTGACGAACAATTTGATGTGATTCAAAAATGTTGGTGTATTAATCCAATCAAAAGAATTGATATTGGAGAAGTTGTCAGTTTGATTAATGGCTTGATGAATAATTGAATTTATTATTCAAAATATGAATAATTACTATATTATAATTATTAGTCAAATATCACCACAAATAATTGACAGTTTGTTAATATTTTTATAATTTTTAATGTATATAATATTTTATATATTTTTAACCCTTAAAAATGGTGTTTTTAATAATTCACAAAACAAAGTTATCAACACGTTTTAACATTTATATTAATTAATAACACATATACAATATTGTTAATACAAATACGATTATTAAATATAATTCCCAGTTGAAAATTATTGTTTATGACATTGTTATTTTTAAATAATGATTGCAATTTGTGTCTAAATAATTGAACATTTTGTTGAAACCATGAAAATTCAAATTTGAACATTTTTATTTGTTTATTTGTGTAACTACTTTGATGTCCTCGTTTTTCATCGAACAGCTTTTTGTTGATAATTGCATCAAAGCGAGTTATTATATCCAATTATTTTTTGTTAACTGTTGTATTATTGTTTATATAACAACACACAATAGTAAATACATGTATTTTAACAAAACCATAATGTTTGTGATAAACTTAAATGAAGGCATTTATTAAATATTAATTCAAAAAAATTTGACAACAACAGTTGATGTATAAGGTATCACTGTTAATTTCTACACCTATGTTTAAAAACAGCTAATAAAATAAAAAAGTGGCAAATTTTAAATGTGTAAACATGTATCATCAAACTAAAACTTTAAGATTAATAATTTTCATCAAAAACAAAAAAATAAATAGATTTTTAACACGTTAAAGTGTTTCAATAGGCAATAATAAACATATATTATTTTATATAAATAAACAACTAAATTGATATAAAATCATAATATATATTCAATCAACTGTTGCGAAAAACAACAAGCATCGGTAATTGTAAAAAAATATAATTATAAACTATTGATATTTTTTGAATATATACCTAATAATTTTCCAAGATTATTTAAATAAGTTTTAAGACAAAATTTTAAGAAAATGTGAAAAAGCACTATTCATATGTTTGAGAGTTAAAAGATAAAAACAATGATATTAACTTCTTATTAGTTTTGAGGTATTGTAATTTTAGTTATTTATTATATATAAATTTAAATCTTAATACTAGAAAACTAGGCCAAAAATACATAAATGGGGAAAAGTATATTGATATATAACAACAATTTGAATTATATCGTGGATAACTTGTATTCGATAAAAGTAATGATAAAATTGATATAAGATTATAAAATTAAAATGTTTCGTTAAAAATAATTTATTTTTTCAATTTTTATTATTAAATTATTCAATTGTTTTTGAAATGATTATTCACATTATTACAGTTGGGCCATTAGACATTAGCCCAAAGAAAAACTAATTATTTTCTATTGTTATATTAAAATAATAAACTATACCTAAATAAAAGTCATTTTTTTAAAATATTTGTTTTTTAGTAAAAACCCATGTTTTTTTAAAAATAGGAATTTCTTTGGGCTAACGTACATTTACTGGGCTAAGGTTCATTTTCCCTACTGTAATGTTTATTTTTGATCAAAATATATTTCTCAATATTTATAATACTCATAAGTCAAATTCAATTATATTTTTTGGAAATGCTAAATAAAGCTTGTTTGTGTGTTAAATATAACCATTTTAAAAACAAATTCATAATAATATCAATGTAAAATATTATAATAAACAAACGTTTCAATGTTCAAGTTTTAATGAGTGTAAATTGTTCATTTTAAAGTTTTTTATACCCATTTTTTGCTATAAATTAAAATTTGATAAATTATATATTAAAGTGCATCACAAAATGGTCGACCACCATAAAATTGTCGTACGGCTTTTAAAACAATTTATTTACACAAAAGATTCACTTTGAAAAATGATTTTTCTGATGAATTTTCTTGAATACTCACCGAAGTAATAGAATGTTAAGAACACTTCGATGGTTAAATGTGTATTTCTTACATCAAACAAAAATACAATATTAATAAGTATTAGTTATTAACTTATTATTTATAGTTTAAAATGATCAATAAAACCATCTAAAATAACCACACAATTAATTTAAGTTGTTCCCACTGATTCTCTTTTCATAACGGTTCTCCACATCTTGGATTTGAACCGAAAGACGACCTGTAAAATGTTCTGTTACCACTGAATATGGTTCATTCATGAATTCTCTAATATGGCGCGCATGTTCCTTTTTATAATACATTCTGTACTCATGTTCATCCTTTGTTGTTTCCTTGTCTGACGCAATTTGTGTTTTAACAAACCCACAGATATAAAATGCAGAAATGATGTTTTTTGAAATCGCCGCTTTGTGGAAAGAAGAAACAATAGCGACAATTTGTTTGGTCAAGCTGCTGGTCCTGATTTCTTCGATGGTCGATGGTCTTAAACCTTTGGAACTAAACAAGTAATCTATTGTTTCTCTTTTGCCACTTTTAACTTTTTTCTTGATCTCAACAACTTCGTCACTTTTCAGAATGAGTTCATTTCCAATTTTTTCCTTTGCTGCGTTTTGCACTTCTTTATATCTGATCAATTTCTGTTGGTAATTTTTAGTATTTATGATGCATTTATAATAGTT